TGTGTGTAGAGCAGCCTGTCTTTGTCTCCAGCACTCACTCCTTCTTTAGGACAGCCCCCGAGCGCCAAAGGACTCCCAGCAGGCTTTTCAACCGTCCCTGTCATGGCCCATCCCCCACACCTTCATACGGCTTTCTGCCCCCATGGACAAGGTGGGACACAGGGCAGGTGTGGACGTCCTGTCACAGAGGAGAGCTTTGATTGGGTTCATTTATATGACTGTCATTGATTTCAGGTGATGCTCACCTTTCCCTGCTGGGTCAACCTCTTCATTACAACCCCTCCATCAGACCTCCACTGCTCCACGCCGCACACATGATGACCAAACACCAGGTCACTAACACACACACACAGACAAACACAATGAAACACACGTAGATGCATATGTGAATGACTTTCCTGTCCTGACTGTGGTCTCTGTGCAGGGTGCACGCGGTGTTTGGCGAGGTGGTCACGGGAGGAAGGGAAGCAGAAAGTCGCTGTCTTCAGACCTCAGTGTAGGTGGAACAAGTGATTTTTATCTCGCACAGATATCTGAGCTGATGGTTCAGTGCTGCCTCGTGTGGTCAGTTTGTGTCATTGATTTTGGTCTGAATAAAGGATCTTCAATCCTGATCTTAGCAACATTGCAGCATTGGATCAGCAACTCCTGTGCTGAAAGATGTAAAATTGGACATCCACACCCCTAACTGTGGATGTAGATTTGTAATTGAAATTGTAAAATTAAAAATATTCACTTCAGAGAGTGAGTGAACAAACATAACATCAAGACATGTTACTAATGAATCTTCCAATTCTAACAAGCTGCCTGAGTTAGTAGTTTTAGAGGATAATTAATTATATATTTTATATCTACAGTGAGCTGTAACATCCAGCAGAGGGCACCAGATGCACAGACTGCGCCCCCTACTGCCTCATCGGAGACAGCCGATTCAACACTCGCAGCACAGACCAAACCTGCTCTGAAACTAAAACTCTACTGTTCTCCCCTTCCCTTAACGCTGCACCACAGCGCCACCCAGCGCTTCACCTCACTCTACGCACATCTGCCTCTGCTGCCTCAGTCTGGACTCAGTCCAAGACCCTGTCCTACTCCAAAAAACCCGAACATTCAACTGCATATTTTTATTTCTGCTGTTTTGTTTACTTTTAAATTCTTTTGCAGTCCATACACGGCTCCCCCTGCTGGCCCTTCCAGGCCGCCTGTTCCTGCAGTTAGCAGGCTAAAGTGTTCAAAGAACTTCTGAAGGAAAGTTCGCGTCTCCACTGTGGCTACTTTTATATGGAAAAAAGAAAACATTTGCTTACTTGACCTGATGTTGCCAAGTTTAAGGACTGTATGGAATGATCTAATTCATTTAATTCACTTTTGATTGGCTCATGGTTTAAAGGGAGAGTGCAGGTGTTTAAAGAGAGGTTGTCTCAGGTCTAAAGAAAATATCAGTGATTTTAGCTCACAGTTGTTGATCCACTGCTGCCTCCAACATCAAGTACTAATGGGATATTTTGTGATTTCAGTGGTTCAGTCAAACATCAGACACCAAGTGTCCACTGGAGGCAGCAGTAGACCAGCAGCACCTGTGTCAGCCTGAGCTAAAATCACTGATTTTCTCTATAGACTTCTGTGTAAGTGAATGAGTAGTTTATTGATGGAAATATTTCTCTCCAGGCAAAAACAAATTAAACAAAAAGAATATTTTTACAGCCTTCCTTTAAAAGCTGTTTTTTTACCTTTAATCCTCAAAAGTTATTCTCCCAGAAATAAAAGAATCTTCTTTTCTTTGTTTGTGTTGTGTGACACAGCGCAGCTTAAGCCTGTGACAGTTGCAGACACTGAATAATGGATGTGTTTCTACCTGAATAATTCAAACAGTGAATGTTGCGTTTGCACTGATGAAGATGAAGATGTTTGTTGGGCCTGGATCCTCGTCTCTCCTCCGTCACACTTGTGTGTTGCACTCAGCCAGGCCTCTTTCTTTCTTTTATATATATTTAATTCAAAGGTTTATATGCACAAGACGAATGCAATCAAGGCGAGTTTCTTATTTTGTTTTTTATTTTTATTGTTTGTGTGAAAAACGAGGAGATTCTGTGTTTTTGTTGATTTTCCAACGGTAATAAATGTTTTCTTCACACGTGTCTGGTCGTTTTTTTGGCGGGAGGCAGGGGGTCAACGAACTTACAGTAAGTGTTTGAGGATGAGGAGTTGGTCTAGTCAGAGGCAAAACGGTGACACCTAGTGGAGAACGACTGAAAAGACAACTTGAGAATTGTTCACTGTACCTTAACTTTAATTTTGTGTTAACCTCCGGTAGTGGTGTAGCAAATAAACGTACAACGTGGCAATAAACACCATGATGTAACATACATACATTTCTGTAGCTTTATTACTCCGTGATTTCTGGCTTTCCCCCCTCACTTCTCATTTCTTTAATTTTTTCTGCTGTTTTGTCTTTTATTTCTCTACCTTCCTTATTATTTGCATTCCTCTGCATTTTCCTATTTTATAATTCTCTATTTTCTATCTATTCGTACACCGTCGTCCTTCTCTAGGAGCCAGAAACTGCGGTTTTGTGCTCTGACCAGCAGGAGGAGCCGTTTAGGTACTGTTACATTAGGCAATGCGGAATACGACGTGTTTGCGTGAAAACTTTTGCTTTAAAATGACTTTGAGTTTGCAGTCCCATTAAAATTAGACACTGAAAAGGAAATTATATTTAATTGAAACATCACACACTTCCCGGCTGAAATGTTTTGGTTTTTCTTTTTTACCTCACAAAGAGACTGGTGGATAATTATTCATTAATATTTTCCTTATGAATTAAAGTAAATTCTAAGTGGAAAAAAACTGAAACAAAATAACAAAAACAAAATATTAAATATAACTAAATTCAATGAAGGTAAATGTATAATGAGTAGACGCCAATTGAAGTGGAACCAATATTTAAACAATTGAACTAAACCTTAATTTAATCTAGTCTCAAGTGATTTGACATCGCTACAGCTTTTAGTAAAGTTCTGAGGTTTTATAAGATGTGTTTTTCTTATTTATGTCTGTGTATTTTTTGTTTTGTTTGTTTGTTTCTTGTCACTTCCTTGCGTTATGTCTTTGTTTACGTTTGTTATGTAATTTTCAAACAACGCCACACGGTGGCACTACCACTTCAATACCACGGCAATTTCGTTTAACATAAAATCAATACAAAGCTGAACTGACTTTATTATTGACAGCATTTCATTTAAAACCATACTTCATTGACTTAGATCTACATTGGTCTCACTGTTCATGGGATACACGGTATATTGACATCGACCTCTGCCTTTGAAGGATTTCTAATCTCAATGACTCACAACAGACAAAACATCATCTCTACAACAATAATGTTAGATTGTGTAAATAGTCTTTTTTAAAAATTCAATATTTTGCTAGTTCCCTGTATATGTTTTTGGTGACAAAAAGCTGTATTTTTATTTAAATACACCAAATGTACAGGTTTGTAATCATGTATGTTCATTTATTTAATAATATTTGAAACATCTATCAATACTGAAATAATAATGTATAATACAAAAACAACAACAACAATAACAGAATGCAGCCTTTCATTTACACAGCAGCGGTGGCCTGTAGATGGAGACGTGACACCGTCTCCATTGTGTTTAAAAAATGAGACACTCCAGAAGCAATTATAGCGACTGTGAGACACACAACCAGACACACACACACACACACACACACACACACACACACATACTCAGAGGCACTGTATTGTTGCCATAGGAACATGATGGAGGATGTTGCTGCAGCTCAGGGCGGTGTCAGGAGGAAGCTGTGTGACACAATGACACACAGAGACACACTGAGACACGCCCGTGTTGTCTCTGTAATAACACGTCCTCAGGACTGACGCCCTCTTTTGGATGGAGATGTAACCGGGGGTCAGTGAGTTCCTGCATCACTGTGGTGTTCACACGCAGACTAGGAATCGTGGTTTATATATAAGAGCGTGGTTTTACAGTGCAGTGATTGGAGAACTGGCGCTCAATCAGCTCTGATGTCAGTGGAGACCAGTCACAGACAAAGGCTGTCAGTGAAAACAAAAGTCTTTTAACAAGACCGTCATTGTGTTTTAGTCCAACTCTTAGACAGCATTTCTAACAGGAAAACAGGGTTTTTAGAGAAAGCCTGAGAGTCTAACTCACAGGGACAAAGGAGACGCTGGAACACTGTTGCCCCCTGTGGTCAATGTATGCCAGTGACTGAATGTGAACAAAGGATTTTGGACATAAATAAAAAGTCCAAAATCAGTCCTTGGTGATGGACACATCAGTGATTGTTTCATGTGATGTAAAATCACAGATTTTGTTCTATGGCAGTGGTTCTAAAACCTGAACCCCACCCTCACCCCCGCCCTCATCCTCCTCCTCCTCCTCAGCTTTGTGTCCTCCGTGCAGGCCTGTCCTCCACTTTGGGAACCACTGCCCTGTGGACTGTAGCTGTAGTCCCTCTGAGCTACAGTCACGGCTGTGTTCAGGTTTAAGATATTAGTTATTGTTATGTTTTTGTACTATATTTGTTGAGAACCAAATTTTGTTAAAAAAAATTTCAACATTTCAACTGATTATTGTGATTTTTTTTCTGACAGTGAATATTTTTTGTTTCTTATTTGTGTGACTCGTTTTTTTTTCTAACAGCGTTTGCAGAGTCTACCCTTTAATTGTTTCTTTTTGTCCTGTTTTTGTATCTCTTTTTGCTGTACTTCAAGGCTACTGTGTACCATGTCCAAACATTAGTAATGCCAGGTCGTGTCCCAGCGTTCATTAGTCTCAGACCGTGGTCTTAAAAAGATCCTGAAAATGTCAGCAAATCATCAAAGGGGCTGTGGCTCTGATCAAAGGCATTCTCCTCATTCTATACCCTCCATGCTGTTAGCTTGTGGCTAAAACCTCCACATCTGCACTGCATTATTGCTGCTTTTATGACAGTTTCATAAGTGGAGGCAGAACGAAAAACGGCCGGAGACGAGTGACAGGCCTCAGTCTCAGCAGGAGCCACGGCTGAGTGAACAGCTTTCCCAAACCCAGATTAGGGATTTTCTAATGTCAAAATCTTTTCTCAACTTTTCGCCAATATGTCAGTATTGTCCAAACACTTATTTTCCAATTCCGATATCAATGGATATTAATATGGGCCTGGTAATATTTATTTATTTATCTGTACAAACCACTGTATGAGAATGTGATTAATTAAATGAGCTGCAATGCTGCCATCTAGTGACTTTCACTTCAATATACAGCTGTTTATCCCCAAAACTATTTTTAGGGCACACATCATTTGGCAAATCCCAGGTATTGTAAAATATATGGAGTGACTAAAAAAAGTTAGCTCTGGAAACACTGCACCATGGTGACTCTAAATGAAGAACTTTTAATCTTGTAGTAAAAAATACACACATCATTTCACCTGATGGGGGCATCAGTGGACCAGCTGTTTTGTGACCCCTTCATGGACATCAGTCAGTATGAGTGTGTGGTTTACAGGATGTTTTTTTGTCAGTCAAACGGTGAGATTAAGTACAGAACATGTCCTTAAGAATACTCAGTTGGTGTGGATTGTACTGTAGTATTCTTTGTTCAGTTCAGGCTGTTCCTCCTGGTGCCCCCTGCTGGCCACCATGGTTTCACCAACAGTGTACGTGTGTGTATAAAACATAAAACTACGGTTTTAATGAGATCCTGTGGCAGGTGAGATTTATATGAGCCTGCGTAGTACATAAATCAAACACACACACACACACACACACACACACTGCTCCAGTCCTGTTCACAGCAGGTGGCTCAGACCCTCGGCCTCTCTGTAGATCAAAGACAGACAGAAGTTTCTCTCTGGTTCCTCACAGTGACGTCGGAGATCACCTCTGGATTGAAGTCTTTTTTTTTTTTTTTTTTTTTTACATATATCAGGCTCATGTTTTACAGCCTGGCTTAGAGTTAACTAAACCAGGTTAATCAACTAAACCAGGTAGGACTACATGGTACTGAAGGTGTGATGGTTTATCTTTGGTTTATCTCCCATTGCAAAATCCTGAGAGAAGAATTTTCTGTCCTATGAAGTCAGAGGTTGTTTTTTTTTGTCCTAGAGTTAAAATGAATTAAACATTCAAGTCTTAAAATAACACATTTAACCCCCCCTCCCCACCTCAACGCCCCCACTGCCCCCCAGGTGGCGATGGTACCGTATGTTCTCATAGTTCCCGTGAGTGAATCAGATGTGATGTTCAGGCAACGTGGATGGAAACACTGACCGGGAATGTGTCCAAAATTCCTTTTAGTGATAAAAATTCCTTCTTGGGAAATTACATTTTACTTCAGTCTTACAACATTAGTACCAATTAATTCTGCCATGTGCTGAAGCCAGAGAGTCTGAGGAGTTCGATGGAGGAAAAACACAGCCTTACCAAATAAGTGTGATGTCAGTGATGACATCACCAGAGCCGACATGACTCTTTGACAGGAAAACAATCACCTGTGTGTGTGTGTGTGTGTGTGTGTGTGTGTGTCCTGTTTCAGCCAACTGGCCTATTGGCAGTTGGACAGCTGGTCCATGTCACCAGGTCTGGTCCACAGACAGATCCTGTCCAGTTATTGAATCATTTGAAGTTATTCCCAGATTAAACTCTCCAGACCTCTCAGCGCCTCGTCATCATGGAGACTAAATGAGTAATTCATCCTAACACCTGATCACTCCAAGTTGACAGGTTTAGTTTTGACCTGTTATTCCATATAATAACCCCAGGTATTTGCAGCTCAGGGTAAATATAGCTGCACTAACAACCAGGCCACGTCGCTGGCCCATTTACTCACCCTGCTGCAGCACAGGAACTGACGAGAGCTTTAACCTCTCCACAAAAGAAAACTAGAATTTCATTTGAACTTGTTCTACTTGGTGACTTCAAATCTATCAATTGCTGCAGAGTCCAGGAGGAAATCAGTGATATTGGGTTGTGGGAACACAGGAAGTTGGTATAGTTCCTACAGTGACCACAGGAGGCAGCAGTTCTCGAGCAACCTCTATGAGCAAAAATATTAAATATAATATAATATAATATAATATAATGTTATTAGAGGGATAATTATTTGAATTAGAGCATTAGTTCTGATAACACTGTATAATTAGACACATTTTTCATTTTATTGCAAATCAGATAATTCTTAAATAATTAGTATTTTTCAGTTATTAACCAACATCCTGGATATTTCACAGACAAACGTCTCTGATTCTCAGCATCCATCTCTTACTGTACTGTACATTAAAGCTCTGGAAAAGAAGTAGAATAAATAGAATAGAATAGAATAGATTAGAATAGAATAGAATAGATTAGAATGTCTATTCAATAGAATTGAATTAATTGTATAATAGAAAATTTGAAAAGAATATTGTCCTGCATCAAGAGCTTCTCCCCCTTGAGTGATTTGACTCTGGGTGTTGGCGCACAGCTCCACCCTGCAGGCTGTGAGTGTGTGTGTGTGTGTGTGTGTGTGTGTGTGTGTGCCGTCTGTTGTGTGGGAGCTCTGCTGCAGGCTCCAGGACACCACACTGCCTCACCATATCTCCCACCATCATGAGCTGCAGCTTATTCTGACCTGATTCTAATTCCAGGGACCAAAGATTTTACCTTTTCATAATGTCCTTCATAAATAAGACAGCAGTCTCATCAGCTCAACCTGACGTGAGCAGGCTCTACAAACAGCCAGGTTTCACTGCTGGTCCTGGAGCTGCTGGTCCACTGCTGGCCCTGGAGCTGCTGGTCCTGGGGCTGCTGGTCCACTGCTGGTCCCCTGCTGGTCCACTGCTGGTCCACTGCGGGTCCACTGCTGGTCCACTGCAGGTCCACTGCTGGTCCTGGAGCTGCCGGTCCTGGAGCTGCTGGTCCTGGAGCTGCTGGTCCTGGAGCTGCTGGTCCTGGAGCTGCTGGGCCACTGATGGTCCACTGCTGGTCCACTGCAGGTCCACTGCTGGTCCTGGAGCTGCCGGTCCTGGAGCTGCTGGTCCTGGAGCTGCTGGTCCACTGCAGGACCACTGCTGGTCCACTGCTGGCCCACTGCTGGTCCACTGCTGGTCCACTGCTGGTCCCCTGCTGGTCCACTGCTGGTCCCCTGCTGGTCCACTGCTGGTCCACTGCAGGTCCACTGCTGGTCCTGGAGCTGCTGGTCCCGGGGCTGCTGGTCCACTGCTGGTCCTGGAGCTGCCGGTCCTGGAGCTGCTGGTCCTGGAGCTGCTGGTCCTGGAGCTGCTGGGCCACTGATGGTCCACTGCTGGTCCACTGCGGGTCCACTGCTGGTCCACTGCTGGCCCTGGAGCTGCTGGTCCTGGGGCTGCTGGTCCACTGCTGGTCCGCTGCTGGTCCACTGCTGGTCCTGGAGCTGCTGGGCCACTGATGGTCCACTGCTGGTCCACTGCAGGTCCACTGCTGGTCCTGGAGCTGCTGGGCCACTGATGGTCCACTGCTGGTCCACTGCTGGCCCTGGAGCTGCTGGTCCTGGGGCTGCTGGTCCACTGCTGGTCCTGGAGCTGCCGGTCCTGGAGCTGCTGGTCCTGGAGCTGCTGGGCCACTGATGGTCCACTGCTGGTCCACTGCTGCTGCCTGCTGTGGTCAGTTAGAGTCACTAATATGAATCTAAATCAAGTTTTAATGAACATTTAATTAACATGGATTAAGATATCCTGTGCTTTTTTTTCTCTGCATACTCAAATTCACCTTAATGTCCATAATATGAGTGCACAGGAATAAACAGAACTCTTTCTCTTCACACCACAGCTCACAGATAAAACCAGTCAGTGGATTTTGGTGCAGACTTTGGTTTGATGCTTCTTGTAGAGGTCAGTTTGAACAAATGTTTTTCAACAATCATGACCTGAAGTAACACAACACAACAAAACCTTCCAGTGATGTGGGAAGAACGATGAGTCAGCAAATGCTGGTTTTCTACTGGTAAATGCAGCCGTTATTATAGTCCTACCATCCACAGAAGTATCATGTTGACCAAGTCTTTATTTTCTATTTGATTTAGTCAATTATTACTTTTTTTTTTTTTAGATTTCTCTGCCAGCACTCTGTGTCTTAGAAACTTCCAGACAAATACTCACTGACCTTGGAGTGTGTTCTGTGGAAACATTAAACCTGCAGCAGATGTTTTCACACTGATAAAAACCCTTTATTGAATTATTCAGACTGACATCAGCAGGATCAACACTGTAGTTTCCCGCGACATAACGGTGCACAGTCCTGAAACATGCACATCCCAGAAAACATTTCACAAGACACAAGCAGAATCCCAGAGACCGGCAGAGTGAATCACCGACAGAGTTTGACCCTCTCTGGTCTGCAGAGGCTCTTTGTTTGTACCAGCACCAGCTCGGCAGTGCTGGAGGTGTGTGTGTGTGAGTGTGTGTGCGGGCTGTTGTCCCACAGTCACCTCTGTCATCATACATTTAAACCAGAACAGCTTTGACATTCACTGTTCCCACATGAACTCAGGGATCTTCCTCTAGACAGTTTTTCATCATGAAATTAGAACATTAGAACATTTTCGTTTTCCACTTTTTTATGTGAATACAGTCACCTGGTATACACTCACCTGGTATACACTCACCTGGTATACACTCACCTGGTATACACTCACCTGGTATACACTCACCTGGTATACACTCACCTGGTATACACTCACTGGTATAAGTCACCTGGTATACAGTCACCTGGTATACAGTCACCTGGTATACAGTCACTAAATAAATAAAGGAGCAGTGTGTAATATTGAAAAACAAACATGTATTCTTGTAACTAAACAGCAGCTTATGTGAGTTGTAATGTGAAAACACGGACGTCCTCTGGACAGACTGTGACCTTTGAGTACTTCAAGGGTCAAAGTTAAAAGAACAATATTCTCTAAGGAACATCAGAACACATATTCAGGTTTACCATCATTTTAACAGGATTAACACCTGATGTTAATGTTTGTTTCATACTCAAAATCAGTGATTTTAGCTCACGTTGACAAAGCTGCTGCCGGTTCACTGCTGCCTCTGGTGGCAAAATTTATAAATTACACATTTGAACTCACTAACAACAACTACTGTGTGCTGTGAAATAAATTATTGTTTTTATGTCTTAGACATACAGTACATACATACACAATTGGAATTTGAAAAAAGAATGGAATTTAAAGGCATTGTTGAGTCCATAGGGGGAGCTGTGGTGCAGGTCAGAGTGTGTGTGTGTGTGCGTGTGTGGTGGAGTGTGTATGCGCTCTCTGATTGGCCGACTCCTGCTCATAAATGAGAACAAATGGTTTTCCTCGGCTCAGAACAGGAGCAGACGCCGGCAGAGGAGCAGAGGAGCGCGGTTAGAGCAGAGTAGGAGGGAGGATCCGTGAACGCATCGTCACCGCCACACCTCCACCCTCACCGTCTTCTTCCCCAGAGAAAAACAGAGGAGCTACGGGATCGATTATTGGTTGATTAATCAACCCCAGAGCTGTAATCAATGAAGGAGCGTCACTCTGCTACTGCTGCCGCCGCCGCGAAGACCATGGATCCCGGAGAGAGTGTGAAGTGTAAGATCGTGGTGGTCGGAGACAGTCAGTGCGGGAAAACTGCGCTGCTTCACGTGTTCGCCAAGGACTGTTTCCCTGAGGTGAGAGAGCAGCAGCGATCACCGATCACCGAGTAATAACTCACCGATCAATCACCACTTTTTATTTAGTGATGGGGCATTCACGTGCTCCTCTCACAGATGATTCCAAACCACCGTACCATAACCGATTAACCGATACTAAAACGATTAGTTTCAGACATAGACACAATACCGGTATGAAGGAACTGAGACCAGCGACACAGACTGGACTTTAATGTCGCTGTCCGTTGATCATGGTGACTGAACTGACCAAGTTTGTTCCACTTAACTTCTGGTTCACTTTATTGTGTCAACCAATAACGTGATCACAGCCACATTCATAATATAACTATCTGCTGACGTCAACGTCATCACCTTTTTACGTCTTTCAAAATACAAAGCTGGATGTGATTTAATGACGTGTTGACCAGTAGAGTCTGAGTCCAGGTCTTGACATTTGGACATGATAAAAGAGATTTTAATGAAGTAAAAACGGTTCTATGTGGTCACTGTGAATACTTTTACTTCATTAACTTGACTTTTACTTCATTTCCTCTAATCCTCCTGATCTGTCTGTCTCTCTGCAGAGTTATGTCCCCACAGTGTTTGAAAACTACACAGCCAGCTTTGAGATTGACACGCAGAGGATTGAGCTCAGTCTTTGGGACACCTCAGGTAAGACGGTCCTCTTCAGACATGTCTGTCCCTCTGTCTGTCTCTTCATTTCTCTCTGCCTGTCCGTCTGTCCATGCTGTCCCTTCAAAGTCCTCCGCAAATGTCCGGACACGTCCAGACATGCTGTCGACTTGCACAACACTGTGGACACTGTGGACACAGACCTCTGATAAGAAGTTGACCAAGGCTGTCCATGTTTGAACGGATGCTCACAGTTGTGTGCTCTGAGAGGCCCAGAGTTTACCATTCAGAAAACCACTGATTTCATCTGCTGGTCTACTACTGCCTCGTGTGGTCAGACTGTGTCATTGATATATATTTCGCTTAAGTGACAAAATCAGAAAGTCAGACCAATTGATGGATTAATTGATGATGGAAAATCCCAGATGGAAAATCCCAGATGTCCTTCTATGGACTTCCTGGTACTTGTGACTGAGACTCGTCTCTTGTTGCTCACACAGAACAATATCTGACGAATCTGTCACCCTTAAATCAATCAATCTGGTCCTGCTCACCCTTCACCTACATAGAAATGTTTGGTGGATTTGAATCTGGAGCAGAGTCGGGGGGTGGAGCGGGTTACCATCAGAATGTTCCCACATCTGGACACCACTGACTCCACCATCAGTCAGACGCTGAGGAAAGTTCGGTTGTGCAACAAGTTTTCAGAAGATTCTGCAGAGTTTTATCTCCCGATGGTTGGACTTTGGGTACAAACCAGCTGCTGTGTGTGTGTGTGTGTGTGTTAGTTATGTAAACAAACCCTTTTCCCATCCATCAATGCCTGAGAAGTGAATGGCACAGCCGTCTAGAGTGAGTGAGGAGTGTGTGTGTGTGTACGCGTGTGTGTGTGTGTACGTGTGCGTGTGTGTGTGGTGGGTGGAGAAAAGCTGACAGCCAGCTGTTGCTTCTCTGGCTTTGAATTCCAGTGAAGTGTTGAGGATGAATAAGTGTTTCTCTGAAGTCAGACAAGTTTTACAAAGAAATTTGCAACAAATATTTCTAATGTTTCGGTCAGAACCAGTTTCAATCACAGCCTTTGTCACCTGTGAGGATTTGCGTCACGTTGTAAACTGATTACACAAACTTTCCAATAAGAAACGTCATTATTTTGAATCCAACAAAACAGAAGTTGTTGATTCTCTGCTGTCACTAAGTTCAAATGGATTTAGTGATGTTTGGATTCAAAATCTATAAAATATTTCTTTAGTTTTTTTTGGAAAGACAAACTGACCGGCCGAGGTAACAATGGTCCAGCAGGTCCTTTGTCTCAAAGCTCCTTGTCTCCGTGGACTTTAGTGTAAGAGACTTTCACATGAGAACAAACAAAAATGAACATTTGCCAGTGGAATCTGAACAGTCGTGTTTTGAACACTTGAAAACAAACGTGCCGACCTTCTGTAACCATGACCAGTCATGTTTTCCTGAGGGTCGTCCTGCTCTCAGCCTGCTGCTCTGAGCAGGTTCTACAGTCGATGCTAACTTTGTTCCACCACCATTGAACGTTAGAAAATGTCTTATTTTCAGGCTGTGCAGCAGAACAAGGAGGAGTTCACATTTTGCATTCCGTAAGTGTGTGTGCGCGTGTGTGTTTTGTGGAAAGTGGAAAAATGAGGGTCGGGCAGAGTGAGAATGATGTTTTATTGCTCAGTGTTGGCAGTACGCCTGCAGTCATCGCTCTTTCTCTTTCTGCTTCATAAAGCAGCAGGGTGAAGGTGGGGGGTCCTATTAGATCAGTGGGCCTGAGATGGATCCAAGAACACCCCCTCCACACACACACACACACACACACACACACACAGTGTTTGGTGTTTTGTGCAGACTTCACACAGTCATTAGTATTCCCTAGCCCCTTACCCTAACCACCTATTACAGTATTACCCTGAATCTGATTTCACCTTGATTCTAATCCTAACTCCAATCTAAACCCTGAACCCTCTCACTCAGAGAGGACCTGCAAAATGTCCCCACAAGGACAAAGCCTCTCCACAACAACAGTATTTGTCCAAAGAATGTCCCTTCAAGTATAGCTATACGTACCCACATACACACAAACCAAATGCCACACAGCTTGTAACCCCCACCCTGACACACAGGGACACACCCACTGACTTACACTGCTTTCTGCCTGAGCAGGCTCCTCATTGACCTTATCTGAAGGGTCTGTGTGTGTGTGTGTGTGTGCGCATGCAAACACACGTCTTTAGTAGAGGATGTCTACAGACGAGCCAAATGTTGTTTACAGATTTTAAATGATGCAAACGATTCCACACAGACAATGCTAAAATAAACCAATCAATAGGCTAAGATCAACTAAACGGAGCCAAGGACGCTGAAGCTAAATGTGACGGAATGTGAAATGCGATTTAGAAAGATGCTAAATGTTGACGTGTGCTGTAGTCAAAGACTCTTAGCGTTGTCTTAGCCTTCAAAAGGATGACAGAAAACACTTAAATATGCAGAAGGTTATGCAGAAGATGCTACAACAACCTTCATAAGTAAGAATGCTGGAGGAAACAACGTGAGTCAGATTGGTTTAAAAGATGAAATTGACACAAAGAGATTATTTTGTTCCAAAATATAGAGCTATTCTTCTGGAATGTCCTAAAATGCTTCAAAATGCTAATGCTAACAGTGCTGATTAATGCTAAGATGCTAATTATTCCAGAGTCATTGAACCAGATCCAGGAATATTATTAAATGTAACACCTCTGAGCGGTGTGTGTGTGTGTGTGTGTGTGATGCAGTGATGAAGACAGTCATCTGTGTCATACACACACCTCCACATACGGTGGTGGTCTTTGTTCTGCCTAATGATTGACTGGTGGTTTGTCTTTGTGTGTGTACCTTGAGTGTGTGTGTGTGTGTGTGTGTGTTTATTTGTGTGCTCGTTCACACGGGGTCACTCAGGTGAAAATTCCTGTCAGGTCTCATCCATTTGTCCACATTACTCCTCCCCTTTCTCCTCCTCCTGCTCCTCCTCCCCCAACTCCTCAGGCTGAGACATCACTGGTGTCAAGGCTGTGGCCTTTGATTCTTTACACGTCAGGAAGTCTTTTACGTTGTGTGTTCTGTTTTGGAGGTGTTGAACAGGATGTTGGTGTGTGGCGTCTTATAGTCCTCAGATAGATGTAGACTCTGTAGATCAGCACTGCAGCCACAGGCCACTTCTATGACTCCTCACAGATGCTCACCCTCAGGCCTGGACATCAAACTGTAAACACCGTCCTATTGGTCAGTTTGTCGTCCTGCACTAGTCAGATCTCTTCATCACCAGAAAATGTGCATCACCCACCAAGTGGCTGGTCCTGCTCTTTCTTTGAGGGCTCAGGGTCATTACATCTGAATATCTAACATTTTCTTGCTCAGTCTTCCTCGTTTCCTGCGCCCACCTCTCCTGAAGGTCATTGTTGTGGTTTAGAAAACAGGATTCTTTCTCATCTGCTCATGTGGAGACACTTGTGCTTTGTACAGAGGGTGAGGTCCCTGACATCCCAGATCCTGATGGACGCTGTCTCTGGACTCTGAACAACGTGGTCCATGGGCTGCGACCCCTCTCTGGTCTGCGCTCGGTCACATTTCTGAGCTCGGTGAAGCAGAGCTGCGTGTCTGACATTCCTCTCAGTGAAGGTCTCTGCTTCCTCCACCTCCACAAAGAGCCTCATTGTAGTGAGCAGATCCAGATCCAGATCCATAGAGCGTTGAGAGGGAGGCGGAGCCACGCTGTCGCTCTGCCTCGTCTCTGAGGGAAGATTGAATTATGGTAGATTAAGCAGCGATGCAGTGGTTTCCTGTCTGGTGTGTGAAGTCACAGATTGAAAATCTGGAAACGTGATGATCATCCACAGAGTCAGACCCTGTGGCCTGCAATTAGCTCCTTATAAAACCAACATCGTCCTTTAATGTGGCTTTTACAGTCACACAGTTTGTGTTGAATCATGTCAAAATAACATCTAATGGCTGCTCTAGTTCATAAACATCAACTAGGTCTTATTCTTTACTCTTCAATCTTCAGGGTTTTTTATTCATTTCCAAACGTAAACTTGTTCTGTTTTTTAAGAATTTTATCATCAACTAAAACAATTGTCTTGCTTAAATATTGTCAATTTCACCGAGGATTTTAAACAGCACTTTAAGGCTCTTTAAGATGGTTTAGAATAAAGGACATACGGTGCTTTGTCGTTGTAAAAACATCTACGCTGAAGTAGGCTAACTTTGCTAAAAGGCAATTAAAGATGCTTCTTGCCAAATTATGATAAACAAAAATAAAAAAGATTTTAAAATATGTTGCAAAATAAATAAACACAAATTGCTTCATGTTAAAGTAGGCTAAATGTACAGTAGCTTAAAAAAATAAACACGCTTCAGGCTAAAGTTTATGCTATCATGTGCTAAAGAATGTCAAAGACGTCATGTTTTATGCTAAGGCCGACATAAGCTTTTAGATAAAAGACGTCGTTTCATCTCGTCTACTTCAGCACTGTCACGTTTTAGCATGTTGCTACATCTTTTTATAATGTAGGACAGTGGAACTGGTTCACTGAACGCTTCTTTGTTTTAGTCCTGAAAATCAAGAGTTCCACCACTGCTCTCTATTTTGTTGAGAACCAGATTTCTCCTGAGTGTAGCGTCATGACGACGGGAATCAGAGCGTGGTGACCGCTGCCTGTTGAGCTGCTCAGGTCTCTCAGACGGGGAGGACGGACGGAAATCCCACTTCTAAAACGATGATCATTAGTTTCCTCAGTTCCCAGCGTGATAGTAGGACAGTTAGATTGTCTCTCCTCGGGGGGACACGAAGCCTTGTAACCACGGTAACCATAGATGATAAGATACAGATGGAGCGTATTCCACAGGTGTCCCTGAAGACACACACACACACACACTCAGTTATGCGAGGAATGCGGTGGAGCTGCTGCTGCTGCTTCTCCTCAGGACGTCACCTGTCCTGCTGAGATAAAAGGGGAAAAAATCCTGTCCCGGAGAAATAAAGTTCCTGGGATTTATTATAACATCCTGGAATACTGCAGAGCTATATTGGCCTGTGGCAACGCCTGGGAATTCCACATGTGTGTTGGAGTCAGGAAACATCTGGGAATGTGAATAATGAGTCACATGAGCAGAGAGCGGAGAGTCTCGTGTATTTCTGTGTTTCATTCACACAGTGGACAGATTAGGAAGGGTGAACCTTTGGAAAAACATCTTG